AAGGGGATGCCTCAGGAGCCAAGCCTCTGTATTCAGCTGAGCACAAGCATCCTTCACCCTGATGTGCGGGGTCAGTAGCGAATAAACACGAGGAAAACTGATGCAGGGAAGTGTATCTCACTTACAATCATAGAATCACAGAATGGTTTGGGGTGGAAAGGAGCTTAAGATCATCCAGATCCAAACCCCTGCCATGGGCAGGGACACCTCACACCAGACCATGGCACCCAAGGCTCTGTCCAGCCTGGCCTTGAACCCTGACAGGAATGAAGCATTCACAACATCCTTGGGCAACCCATTCCAGTGCCTCAGCACCCTCACAGCAAAGAACTTCTTCCTTATATCCAACCTGAACTTCCCCTGTTTCAGTCAGAACCCATCACCCCTTGTCTTATCACTCCAGACCCTAATGAAGAGTCCCTCTCCAGCATCCTTGTAGCCCCCTTCAGATACTGGAAGCTGCTCTGAGGTCTCTCATACTTCTCAGAGAGCATTGCCCACGTTACAGGGATGTTTTCATTCCCAGCCTCTTCTTTGAGGGTGTTGGCAGATGAACCAGACATACCCACCCACAAAAACAGAGACTGCTTTTCATTGTCTCTTGGAGACAGTGCTTTATCCGGGTGTTCAATTGCATCTGCCTACATTAAAAGCTGGTTGCCTTCGGTGCCTAATGTCAGAGAAACCCCGCATCCTACACCCTCTGGCTAAGCAGGCAGAAAAATGCCTTGGGAGCTTGGATTATTTAAAGGTCAGGAAAAGAAGCAGTCGATTATTCCTGCAACGTATCAGTACTTGGCAAGCTGTTTGTAGCCAAGCATCACTGGAGAAAGCTGTCAGCACTGCCTGCTGGTCCCAGCTCCTCACCTCTGTGCATCTTTTGATCCCATTCCCTCCCCACTTAATCCAGGGTCAGTTGCATTCAGCAGCCTCCACTCAGAGCTTCTTATGAGCGGTTATGTCTCCTTTCCCAGGACATCCATCTCGAAGCAGGTAGCACATAGGTAATAAGCATGTAGTAACACAGGTATTTATGTTGGCTCTAGGAAGAGCCTGGACCAAGATTATTCACTGTTGGGTCCACCTATCCCCTACTCGCACAAAAACAGCCAAGTCTGTTTCTCTGACTAGAGCTGACATTCATTTGGGATGAACTCTCCCAAACCCCTTATTGTGAACAACACAGCTATCAATGGGAAAGAAACCACTGGAGAAAAGGCAATAGCCCAGTCTGACAAGAAGCTTATAAAACCCGTGCTTAAGAGGCAGACAGTCTACATGGATTTGAAAAGGAGTCAGACTAGTTTGGGTTCGTTCTGTTTAAGCAGGAACCTGCAGCAAGGTAAGCAAATGCTTTTGCAGTATATGGACCATGGTAGCTAAATGTCCTATGTGGCAGGACCATTTTTCCCCATGAATCCTTATTTCCAACTATTCTTCCTTCTCCTTGCCTGCCTAACAGTCTCATTTTAGGCGGTGATAGTCATCTAGATAGGATTAATGTAAAAAAGAGGGGCAATTTTACTATTAGATACCCATGAACACTTTGCTTTCCTAACAGCCAAGGCTATGAAACCGCCAAGTGCTCACTGGTGTTCGCCAGCCAAGTTAGAGGATGTTCAAGGAGAAACATGCATCAGCCTTTGAAGGCAAGGGGTTAAGTGGCAAAGGAGGAAGATTAAGCCATGATTTGCAGCCAGGGAAGCAGAAAACATTGCCCCAAAGGTCTCACCTGAAGAGCTGACCCTCTGCTTGCTCCTGAACATGGAGATATATGCAGCACTGCCAGCTCCTGTGATTCATGGCATGCTGCTTTTTGCTGCTGCAGCTCCCACGAGAAACAAGCAGAGATGCCTGTAGAGCATTCAAGGCTGCTTGCATGTGTCAGGCAATGAAATAAGGGGCAACGTGAAGGGCACATCACTGTTAGGAGAGGGGGAAAGAATGGGAGGATTGAGCTGCTGGTCCTCCTCCGCTTGCAACCTGGAACTGTTCAGTTTGGAGATGCAAAGAGCTGAAGGGGAGAAATCAGGAGAGACTTTCTGCTAAAGCATGGGGAGAAGGGATGAACCAGGAGAAGGAGTTAGGGATGTTGGTTGATGAGAAACTGAACATGAGCCAGCTTCAGTGTGCACTCACAGCCCAGAAACCAACCGTATCCTGGGCTGCATCAAAAGGAGCGTGACCAGCAGGTCCAAGGAGGTGATCCTGCCCCTCTACTCTACTCTCGTGAGATGCCACTTGCAGCACTGTGTGCAGTTCTGGTGTCCTCAACATTAAGGACATGGAACTGTTGGAACAAGTCCAGAGAAGGGCCACAAGGATGATCAGGGGCTGGAGCACCTCCTGTATGAAGACAGGCTGAGAACACTGGGGCTGTTCAGCCTGGAGAAGAGAAGCTGCGTGGAGACCTCAGAGCAGCTTCCAGTGTCTGAAGGGGGCTACAAGGATGCTGGAGAGGGACTCTTCATTAGAGACTATAGTGATAGGACAAGGGGTAACGGGTTAAAACAGGGGAAGTTTAGATTAGAGACAAGGAAGAAGCTCTTTACTGTGAGGGTGCTGAGGCACTGGCACAGGGTGCCCAGGGAAGCTGTGAATGCTCCATCCCTGGCAGTGTTCAAGGCCAGGTTGCACAGAGCCTTGGGTGACATGGTTTAGTGTGAAATGCCCTGCAAGTGGCAGGGGATTGGAATAGGATGATCTTAAGGTCCTTTCCAACCCAAACCATTCTGTGATTCTATGATTCTAGGAGGGTGGAAGAAGACAGTTGCAGGGATTCTGGAACAGGGAAGCACGGTTAACATAAAAATAAACTGCATTTCGATATCCAGACAAATATTTTTAATTCCTAAATCAAAAATAATGATTGCAATTAGTGCATTATGCATCTATTTATGTGACTGCTCAGGAAAGAAGGAAACTACCCAGGTATGGTTTTTGGAGTGCTCGGAAGAGTCAAGGGACTGATTCTTAAATAAGAATAGGACTGCAACACAATAGCTGCTCTGTGTGATAGAACAGAAAGGCTTTCAGTGTTAAGGATCTCCAGCAGTAACTAAGGTAGTTAATGCTACAAATAGCACTGTAACACATGTAAACATCTTCTGTGGTTACATCCATCCCCAGACTGACTCTTCACTCTTGCAGCCTCCCCAGTCTCCTAAATTTAGTCCCAGCTCTTGTGACTATTATTGCCATTACTATTTTTAATCCTCCAGTTTGCACAACAGAGTACCTGTGAATTAGGGCAGATCTGAGACACTGATGAAAGCAATGGATCGAGAAGGAGGGAGCCTGCAAACCAGCATGAGAGTTTCTATCGCACCGGGAAGGTCAGTCAAGTCCATCAGGCAAATTACAGTGTCTAAAGCCAATATAAAGAAACAGGAATCAAATCGTCCCCTTTGTTCAGAGCCAAATCTCAGCAGGACCTGCAGTCACACACACAAAATCAGAGCCACATCCTAAGTAAGCTGATTTCCGCATGCGAGCTCCATGAAGGGAAGCAGCTTTAATAAATGGTGCTACCTTTGGAAAAGGCATTTTAATTCTCTAATTAGCATGTGTACAATGAAAACTAACTGTGCGAGTTCGTGTATACACGTAGCTAGAAGAGAGAGTTTAATGGACTGTATCTACTGCAAGTGAAACCGAAGTTTCATTTCCTGCATGTTGTGTCGCATGATGCAGGTTTCACCACCACAACGCATTTTTCCACCTATAAAATACGTTATAGGTCCTTCCCTCTACTTTTTCTCTTGGGTTAATGGACTTTGGAAAACTATAACGGGGAGGGGGAGAAAAAAGCTACGTAAGCTTTTCATCAGGGACTTCAGTGACAGGACAAGGGGTGATGGGTTCCAACTGAAAGAGGGAAAGTAGAGGTTAGATATAAGGAAGAAGTTCTTTACTGTGAGGGTGCTGAGGCACTGGAATGGGTTGCCCAGAGAAGCTGTGAATGCTCCATCCCTGGCAGTGTTCAAGGCCAGGTTGGACAGAGCCTAGTGTGACATGGTTTAGTGTGAGGTGTCCCTGCCCATGGCAGGGGGTTGGAACTGGATGTTCTTAAGCTCCTTTCCAACCCTAACTATTCTATGATTATATAAGCATCTGTCATTATTTAACCCCAACTAAGCACCACACAGCTACTTGCTCACTCCTTCCCTGTAGCACAGGGGAGAGAATCAGAAAGGAAAAGTGAGGAAACTCCAGTATTGAGACAGTTTTAGAAGCAAAGCAAAAGCCATGCACACAAGCAAAGCAAGGCAAGGAATTCATTCACCACTCTCCATGGTCAGGCAGCGGTTCAGCCATCTCCAGGACAGCCTACATCACACATAATGGTGGCATGGGAAGATGAACACCACTCTGAACTCACCCCCTTTCCTTCTTCTTCCCCCCACCTTTATATGCTGAGCATGACGCCATAAAGTATGGAATATCCCCTGGGTCAGCTGGGGTCAGCTCCCAATTCCTTGTGCACCCCCAGCCCACCTGCTCGTGGGGTGAGGAACAGAAAAGGCCTTGACTTTGTGTAAGCTCTGCTCAGTGATGCCTTAACATCCCAGCGTTATCAGCACCGTTTCCTGTACAAATCCAAATCACAGCCCGACACCAGCTACTATGAAGACAATTAACTCCATCCCTACCAAAACCACCACTGCATCCACCTCTGATTTCACATTAAAAACAAATAACCCCAACAACAACAAAAAACAATGAACAACAAAGAACAGCAACACACAGAGCCACAGAAAACCCTCTTTCACTGTGGCCTATCACTTCCTGTTACCTACCGATCATTCTCTGTCACCTGAAACCAGCACAAGCAAAGCTTGATATGATCAGTGCACATCCTACCGTCATTAATCATTTATAGATAGGCCAAATAAGGGTCCAGTTATGAAACAAGGACAGAGGATGGGGTGAGAATAGATGAGGAAAGAGTGAAAAGGCTGGGACAAGGAGAGATCTGCACTGATTCAAAAGAGACTCACAGTCCATCCTGCAGCTCTTGAGTGTCGTTTGAGGTCCCCAGAGATCGAAGGCTTCTTTCCAGAGAGGTCACTGTCAACAGCAGAGAAAGAGAAGGTAAAGAAGAAGCACACTTTGGCAGAGAAAATAATACATCTTTTTGTTCATCTGTTTGGCATTTAATTCTAGTATTTAAACAGTACAGTGAAGTGGTGTTTGGACAGTAATTCATGAGACAAAGGGGACAACATCTAGCAACGGCTGTTACTCAAAACCAAATAAATTGGGTTCCTTGGGTGCGTAAATGGTGAATCCATGCATCACACACCATGAGATGATGGGATGTGACTCCTTGTAATGGCAACAAACCCCTCATTCCCCCCATAATGGCTTTAAACCAGAAGAGGCTAGATTGAGAATAGATATATGGAAGAAGCTCTTCCCTGTGAGGGTGCTGAGGCACTGGCACAGGGTGCCCAGAGAAGCTGTGGCTGCCCCATCCCTGGCAGTGTTCAAGGCCAGGTTGGACACAGGGGCTTGGAGCAAGCTGCTCTAGTGGAAGGTGTCCCTGCCTGTGGCAGGGGTTGGAGCTGGATGAGCTTTAAGGTCCAACCCAAACCCGTCTGATTCTAATAACAGATTTTGGTGTCTGGTTTGGCGATTCAGTACAGTAAAGCCTCAAGGAACTGTCTATAACTGAGCTAGTAATTATTATCCTTTGCTGGATGGATGTTTTAAAGACTAAATTGGAAGTTTCACTAATAACCATTTCCTTCTCTAGAACAGCATTCGTCCTGCAGAGATCTCTCTGATCACACCGGGGGGCTGCTGAAGAATCCTCAGCTCAGCCTCTCACATCAAGGTAATGGCACTGCCCATGGCACCAACCTGTCACAGAGTCATTAATGAGCAAGGAACAGGAATTAGAGAGGGAACAGACCCATTAGAGCACTCAGGTTCTCCATCTGGCCAGAACAAGTTTGATACCTTTGGTATATCTTCCACTGATCAGCCTTTCAGACAAGATGCACCAAACCAACCCCTTTACGACTGTGATCTATTTTACTTATGTATGAGGCATTCACTGAGAGGAAGCTTAGAGCTGTGCACTGAAAGAGATGCAAAACCTTCATTAAAATAAGTAGGAAAAAAGCCATCAATAAGACACATTCACACAGTATTTGAGCTTCTTTTTGTGTGCTTGGGCTTCTTTTTCTCCCTGAAAGCAAAAAGCAATTAGACCAAAAAACCCAACAAATTTAAGACTTGTGTAAGTTAAAGCACTATCCCCATGCTCAACAGGAACTGCTCCCAAAGAATTAGACAAAGAAAGAAGAGGCAAAGAATAAGAAAGATCTCCCTCTACCCCGGGCACTTTCCTATGAGATGGCATAGATACAAAGCCCGTAAGTTCACCACCTGGCAGGAGAGTGATCCAGTAGCACATGAACAGTATCAACCGTTCTGGCTATGATTTTTATGCAACACATGAGGAAGATTTCCATTTTCATAGCAGGAAAAGGGAGCAGGAGGTGTATATATGTGAGATCAGCCACACAGAGCTATAAAGATCCCCCTGGGTCAGGAGGCAAGCCCTGGACTGCACAAGAAGAACTGAAATCACCCCAAAGGCTCAGACTTCTGAAGAAAGAGTAAGGAGAGCAAAGAGGGACAAAGCTCGTGGTGTTTATTACTACTATAGTGTTACTCAATAAAAACCAAGAGTGTTTTAAAATCCCAGCACAAAGTTGACTTCTTGTTTCATTAAAAACAGTCATTTCCCAAAGAGAGAAAAAATATAGCTGAGACTGCCCATAACTTGGCATTTTGGGACTCTAGGCAACAGAAGTCATGGCAGAGGGGTTGGAATTAGATGATCTTAAGATCCTTTACAACCCTAATTATTCTATGGGGAGCTTGTGACATCTTTAGCATCCCAAGTGGGAGAAGAGCATTTCAAGTGCACAGTTTGGCCTCCAAACACAATGGGGAATATAAAAAACCCCAAAGAGGCTGGGGCAAGGCAGGAAAAGAAGGAGCTGTGATTGGACTAATGCAACCCTGTGGGATGCTCAACACGCCATGCCCAGCTCAAGAGGAGGACAAACCATCATCTGGCGAGCGTCTGCAATGAAGCCATTGAGCTGCGTGTGGTGATACTCAAACAACAGCACTGGCTTTTCCTACGTGCTCTGAGAAAGAACTTGCTGAGTTTTCTGATGAGACCATATGGTACAGCTGTAGAGGACAGAAAGGACCACGGGCATCCTTTCCCGTTTTAGAACCCTACAAAGTTCTTTACCTAACGTGGATTAGCTCAGCCCATCAACAGTACACTCAGCATCCCTCTGCTGAAAAGCTGGACCCACTTCTGGAGTAAAGGCTATGAAGAAGCCACAAAGAAACTGCATGAACCTGATTTTAGCAGACAAAAAATAATATGGGTGGTGAACTGAGCAACAACAGCAGAGTAACTTATGGGCATTTCTTTAATGTAAAAGCACTTTAAAAAGCATTATAAATTCATAGATTCATAGATTCTAAAGGCCAGAGAGAGCAATTCTGATTATCCCATCAGATTTCCTACCATAAAATCTGGTCCCATCACTCCTACGTCAAGACTGTAGCTGGGCTAAAGTGTATCTTATACAAAGACATTCAAATCTTGATGTAAAGGTTGAAAGCCATGCCAAATCCATCACATCCCCGCAATAAGGAGATCTAATGGCTAGTTATCCTCATACAGAAGGACTGAATTTGTCTAGCTTTGACTCCTATCTCCTGATCTCGTTATGTGTGAGAATGTTAGATTAATGAGCCCTATGCTATCTATTTGATGCCTTTCTTCCCAGAGAGGTACTTACATACCATGATCAAGTCCTCTTAGATGTCTGAAACAGAAGTTCAGATGGCATGCATTTTAAAGTCTCATTTTCAGACTTCAAAGAGTTGTCACAGCTCTTTTCTGTACCCTCTCCAATTCTGCAAGCTAGTTTTAAGTACAGACCTTGTCATTACCTGCTTCACAGAGCATTCGATGCAGGCAACTCTTAACAGAAAGCACTTCATCGCGCACTATCTCAAGAGGAGAAACAAAGACTCCCCAAAATTGCTTAAATAGTAATGGAGTGGATTAATGGAATTCTATTCAGGAATAAAAATAGAAATTGGATTGTGGCATTTCAAGAGGATGCACCAAGGTTTCCCCAGGATAAACTCCACTACAGCAGGAGTTATGATTCCAGCACAGAGATGCATCAAGTCATCCCTAACCTGGCTAGTTTGGATATCAATAGCACACATAGACTTGCAAGCAGTTTGTAAAACTTCACACTGAGCCTCTGGTTTGGTAGCAGAAGTGCCACTACCATTCATCACTACCATTTTCAAAGTAAAACTATCAGTGATGGAGCAACCAGCTACCTGCTAATAGAGGTATTTTGGTGTGTTATAATAGGTTAGACAAGTAGTAGTGATCACAGTGGGGAACTGAACCTGCCACAGTGGCCATAAGCCCAGGTAGGCCACAGCACCAGTTTTCTTAGAGACAAGGACATACTGGAGATAGCCCAGGAAAGAGCCACAAAGATGATTAAGGGTCCGGAGCATCTCTATGAGGAAAGGTTGAGAGGACTGGGACTGTTCAGCCTGGTAAAGAGAAGGCTGAAGGGGGGTTCTTATCATTGAATCATAGAATGGTTTGGGTTGGAAAGGACCTTAAGATCATCCAGTTCCAACCAATAACAACAGAAATAAGGAGGCACTAAGATCCTTTCTTTACACCTAAACCAGGCCTCTCTGTCACCCAATCCCCACAGACACCAAGCAGAACAGACAGGGAAACCGTCAAGATAACGCAGAAGCAATTTCAAGGTTCACCATAAAATAAGCACCCAGTAATTTTAGATCCTTGTCTATCAGTTGTGTGTTTTACAACTGGGATAGAATGCCATTAACTATCATTCAGCAATGTTAGTTTGTATCCATCAACAAAATACATTCAACCCAACAAAACTGATGAGCCAAAGCATATCTCCGAAGGAGGGAAGCGCTCTATAGCTCTACGGTCCAGGGAGACATGAGCAGGAATAGCATCTCTGCTCCATCTACAGAATGAAGAATAACAGAAGAGCTTTGGTGTTGATGTTTTCATAAGGGAGATAGATGCTTTGCAAGCTCATGTGACAGGCTCTGAACGCTGTAGTGCTGCAACGCATTAGGAAACGAGTCTGGCTGGTTCCACCTTTCTGCATTCTAACTCCCTGTTGTAACAGATGACACAATTAAAAATAGAAAAGGATGTGGTCTCAGCACGGATTCAGATAGATCTGTGCCTGTTTAATGGAACATATGGTGGAATATTTTTACATCTTATAAAAAATGGGCTATGGGACATGTGCTGATGCTCGTGAGATGCAGCAGCAGCGACACTGCATTCATATTTGCTCCCTGACAACAGGAGTTGCCATACAGTGTGTACATACACATGAGCCATCAGCAGGCCAGCACACAATTGACTAGGAAACCTTTCATTATACGCACCATTGGAGTTGATTCGGAAGACGTTGGCTGAAGTCTCTTGAAAGAGTTCCTGTAGTTCGCTGGGGTCAATCTGGGTGGCTGTGAAGACAAAAAGGGAGATGTGTTAATACTGGATAACACCATTCACTTTGAAAAGGGCTCCCCTCCTTCTGATCCTTTGGAGGGGGGTGCAGGCTCCTCCTCACTGCAGAAGTTTAGCCTTAGTAGGTGGATGCTGCCTTACACAGTGTCTCATCATGCAACTTGCACTGGAGAGGCAAATACCTACCCCAGGACCATTGGGATAGTAGAGCTGCTCCTGCAGCACAGCAGATATGGCCCATGTGGACTGAGACAGCATTTGTAGGAATCACTAGCAATTGGAATAGATACTATTTCTGCTGATTAATCAAGTTGGGAGTATCAGAGCCATGAATGAACGAGAAACCACAAACACAACAGCATGGTTAACCATCCTGTCCAGAGCAAAAAGGCACACAAGTAGGTTCTGCCTTCAAAGTAATGGGAGGAAGCAGTGACCCGAGTACAACTGATCCATGGGCTCAAAGGTTTTGAGTCCTCCATGCATTCATATTCCAGCCCCCAAGAAAGGTTTTCCTTCTCCCTATTTCTTCCTGATAGCCCAACTGCAAGGGTCAACGAACCAGTGCCAAGAATTGCTATAGCCAGTCACCAGAAGCACTCTCTGATACAAACCTCTTTGGCACCACCTTAATGGCAGCAGCTTTAGAGCAGGTCTTCCCATGGTTTAGCCGTATTCTGCCTCCCATCTGGGTCAGCATTTACAGGTTTCCCAGAATGTGCCCTATTTGAAACTTTGCTCAAGTCCAAAAGCACCACAGGGCTTGTCCACCCAACACACCACAATGCATTCAAGCAGCCGCTGCTATAAGCAAGCTGCTCCTCTGAGCTGAAGCATTACAGGAGCTCAAAGAGTAGCTGTTATTCATATATTCAAGACACTGTATGACTTGAATAGGCTGTAACTATGACATATTAGAATCACAGAATCAGAGAATGGTTTGGGTTGGAAAGGACCTTAAGATCATCCAGTTCCAACCCCCTGCATGGGCAGGGACACCCCACACTAAACCATGTCACCCAAGGCTTTGTCCAACCTGGCCTTGAACACTGCCAGGGATGGAGCATTCACAACTTCCCTGGGCAGCCCATTCCAGGGCCTCACCACCCTCACAGTAAAGAACTTCTTCCTTGTATCCAATCTAAACTTCCCCTGTTTACGTTTTAACCCGTTACCCCTTGTCCTATCACTGAAGTCCCTAATGAAGAGTCCCTCCCCAGCATCCTTGTAGCCCCCTTCAGACACTGGAAGCTGCTCTGAGGTCTCCATGCAGCTTCTCTTCTCCAGGCTGCACAGCCCCAACTTCCTCAGCCTGTCTTCATACAGGAGGTGCTCCAGTGCCCTGATCATCCTCATGGCCTCCTCTGGACTTGTTACAACAGTTCCATGTCCTTCTGCATCCCTCCACCAAATTTCCCTGGTTAAATGTGTAAGTATATATTGCACTTGAGTAATCACAATCCAAGAGTGCAGCACAGGCTGGCATCTACTTGGCTGGGGAAAAGCTCTATGGAAAGGGACCTTGGTATCCTGGTAGACAACAGGCTTGACATGAGGGGAGTGTGCTGGTGCAACAAAGAGCCAGTATGATGCTGGGGAACATCAACAAGGGCATCGTCACACAGATGAAGATGTCATTTACTCAAAACTTCTCAGGGACATCCTAAATTCTGTGTTCAGTTTTGGTCCTCAGGTGTGGACAGGCTGGAAAAGGTCCAGAGAATGGCCACAAAGATGATCCAAGGACTGGGAAGCCATGTGAGGAAAGGCTGAGAAAGCTGGGCTTGTTCAGCCTGGAGAAGAGGTCAAGGGAGAACTTACTTATCTGCATGTCCCAGTATTTAAAGGGTGGCTACAAAGACAACTGAGACTCCCTTTTTGCATGGAAAAGATGAGGGCTGATGGGTACAAGTTTCTCCTGGGGCAATTCCAGCTGGACACTAGAGGAAATTTTTCCCAATGAGAACAACCAGCCACTGGAATAATCTCCCCAGGGAAGTGGAGGATTCCCCAGCGTTGGACACTGCTAAGATTCATCTGGACATGGTGCTGGGACATCTAGTCCAGGTCATGCTTTGCCTAGAAAGGTTGGACCAGATGATCCTTAAAGTTCCTTCCAACCTGCCACTGCATGATTCTATGAAGCTGTTAAAACACCAAGCAGTGATGGAGCACAGCAAAACCCACGCATACGGAAGAAAGAAAGAAGCCCACGAGATGCACTGCTCAGATTAGTCCTGAGCATGCTTGAGGACAAGCTCCACATCCCAGCAGCACCATCAGGGATTTTCCACTGCTTCTCGCACATCTCACCCACAGCAGCACTCACATGAGACAATCCAGCCCTGTAACAGCCGTAAATAAAGTCTTGGATCAGTCTGTCACGTTGACACAAATCCAGGGCATTAAATGGTGTTTAATCCAAATGCGCAGGGGATCATTGCTAGAGATTTCCCCACTCTTCTCTTCCCATAGCTCCTCTTAAATCCGCCATCCCAGACACTCCTTTCCTTTGCTTTATATATAAGGCTATATATAACACAAGAAATTAGCTTGGGCTTACTTGTCCCCCAGGAATTTCGCTTGTTACTAACAAGATCCAGCTTTCATTAAATCACTGACAAAAGAGCAGCACAGGATAAGATTTTCAGAGCTTTGCAGAGTGTGCTAACTCCAGTTTTAGAAACACAGAATGGTTTGGGTTGGAATGGACCTTAAGATCATCCAGTTCCAGCCCCCTGCCATGGGCAGGGACACATCACACTAAACTATGTCACCCGAGGCTCTGTCCAACCTGGCCTTGAACACTGCCAGCGATGGGGCATTCACAGCTTCCCTGGGCAACCCATTCCAGTGCCTCAGCACCCTCACAATAAAGAACTTCCTCCTTATCTCCAACCTGAACTTCCCCTGTTTCAGTTTGAACCCATCACCTCTTGTCTTATCATTTCAGCCCCTGATGAAGATGTCCTATCATTACAATACCTCTCCAGCATCCTTGCAGCCCCCTTCGAAGGCTTGAAATCTCAACCCAAAAATACCCAACAGAAAGCTCTGTTTCACCCCCACACCTCAAACAAGTACAAATTACATGAGAAACCAAAGGTAGATGCAGGGTTTGTGCAGAATTTTCAAACAGTTTGCAAATGCAATGCTTGGAGAATGGTTTGTATGAGAAAGCTGCATCGAACTGAGCCAAGCCTGCAGCTTCCTGCCCCTGGACTTTAATATCATGTTACAGCCCGGTTTCATTTTGGTTTTGCTTTAGAAAAGCAAAGCAAAGAGTTACAAGGAGTTTTAACTGCTCCAATTTCAAGCTTCAACACATCCAGCAGCGCTGTTGTAACTATTCATGGAGCATTCAACAGTTCAAGCAGACAAGCAAAGCAATTTAAAAGCAGCAGCAGAAAGCAAAGCAAAACTGCATCTGTAGTGCCAAGCGAAGTAAAGACACACAGAGACTGCACAGGGAACTGAACGTGAACTACATCTGTGTCTAATAAAACATTAAACATCTCTGACTACATCAAGGGATGCTGAAATACCACAACTCCCACAAAGGAGCATGAGGTTGCTGATACCCAGCAAACACTTTGCATGCCCCAACACTAACAGAGTTCAGGGCTACAGCTGGGAAAAGATGACTGTCACTTGCACTGTGGGGCCTGAGAGCTGTGAAGGTTTTGCAGCAGGTATGTTACAGAATCCTATATGCATTTTTTTCTCCTTTCCTTCCTTAACTGGACATTTCCAACAGTTTCCATTTGTTTTCCTCATCTGCAGAGCCCCTCAGCAGCAGACAGGACAACCCAACTGCTATCAGCTCACCCTTGATGCGATGATGTGCTTGATTTATTGCAGTTGCTAGAACAGCAGCAGCTAACACTGGCATTTCTGATATTGTCTTTACTAATTCTTCTTTCTTTTGCCTGAGCAGCTACACAGTTATGTGCAATGGAAAGCATAAGCTTATAAGTACAGGATTTACTAAAGCAAAGTGTGTTCACACACGCTCTGGTCAGCTACAATGGGACAGCTTAGCTGCAAACGTGGTCTTAAGGAACTATGCGACTTGAGTGTGGTGAGTTGACACTGCCAAGTCCACCACTAAACCATATCCCCAGGTGCCACATCTTAAAGTCCTTTCAATGTCTCCAGGGACGGTGATTCCACCACTTCCCTGGCAGCCTGTTCCAATGCTTGACAACCCTTCTGGTGAAGGTTTTCCTCATATCCAATCTAAACCTCCCCTGGCACAACTTGAAGCCATCTCCTATTGTCCTATTACTTCTTACCCAGGAGAAGAGATTGACATACACCTTGTCCCATCCTCCTTTCAGCTAGCTGTAGAGAGTGGTTGATAACCATACAAGCCTCACACATGATTTTTGCAACCATTATTCCAGTGTTTTCCATGCTTCAGTGCAATTCTATCTCTAATTCATCACACCTCTGTCTATGGGAGACACTCAGACGAGTCCTAGCCATTGCACTGATGTGGTGTCAGTGCCTGGAGCAAAATATAGCCTATGAACTCCTAGTCCACTGCCCTCCGTCCTGCTCAGGATGGAGAAGACCCTTCTGATGCGTGTGGTCATCCCTGGGGCTTTCAAGGCGCAATGACAGGCATTAGCTCCAACCACCACCGACAGCAGGGGAAGGAGGAATGTGAGCAAGCTGGCAAGCAGAAATGCCTTTCAATTCCTCTTCAAGAGGAAATGCAAATGCAAAGGCTGAGCAGACTTATAAGGTCTTGTCTCTAGTGATCTGGATATAATTAATATCCAAAGGGAATAGCTAGAGGTCTAGGACAACATGCATGGTAAAGGTATCTACAGAAACATCCTTTCACTTAATGTTAATGAAAACTGCCCGTGTTCCTCATGTTAATCTTCCTTGCCTATTAATTATTTCACACTAATTTGAATCTCCTAATGGCTTTTCTGCAGCCAGGTGAAGTCAATTCCCTCCGTGAACTCAATTCTGCAGCTAAGCC